TTTATAAACATTATCTGAAATGTTCTTTAACAACAATCCATTGAACAAAATACTATAGGTATTACATACATACGTGTGCACACACAAATGTATGTATCATATGTGTGTGTGTATATGTGTGTATGTATGTATGTATATGTCAGTATTACTCCCATTTTGCAGAAGGGGAAACTAATGCTGAGAGATTGAATGATCTGAACAGAGACACATAGTGTCTATCTCAGGATTCAAACCCAGGTATCTACACAAAGGCCAGTGCTCTGGTTACTATACCCCTCTGCCTTTTATAATGGGATTATCTTTGGGATTTTTGCTTCGTTAGGTGAAAAAAAAAATAAAAAGATTTAAGTTTTGACAGAAGTTAGTAAAAAGTGGAACCCAATTAAAAATTTTGGGAAGAAATTTCATTCAGATTTCAAAAATCAAGTTAAGAGCTGCCTGATCAAGAGTAAAGAAAGAATATGATCGTTACAGGGCTGGGACAGGGTTTAAATACTACAGGGGCATGTGGGATAAAGAAACTTGGAAACCTGATATTCCATAATGCCAAATTACAAGTAAGCTAATACAAACGAAATCACAGACATTTATGGTATAGGCATTCAAACTATTTTGACTAAGTTTTTTTTTCCTCCCCTTAATGGCTTACAAAGGGAATATCTAAAATGCTTGAACACAACCCATCTGTTACACTCTTTTGGTGGATATCATTTCTACTGCCAAAATGAAATTTAAATTTACTGTAATATAGCCACTGATAACTATCACTCTCTGAAGACTCACTTCTATGTAAGGGTTAGATTTCTGTGATGCTGTTGACACATAGTAGTCAAGTGTCTTGTAAAATATCTAGCTTAAAAAAAAAAACCAAAAAACAACAGCAACAACAAAACCTCGTACAACTTGTTTACCTACTCTCCTGCAACTAATTAGCATGTAATATTATTCTCAACGGGGCAAGTAGGTGGCGCAGTGGATAGAGTGCCAGGCCTGGAGTCAGGAAGACTCTTCTTGAGTTCAAATCTCACCTCAGATACTTATTAGCTGTGTGGTCCTTGGGAAGTCACTTTACCCTGTTTGCCTCAGTTTCCTCATCTGTCAAATGAGCTGGAGAAAATGGCAAACCACTCCAGTATCTTTGCCCAAAAAACCTCAAATGGGGTCATGAAGAATTGGACACAGTTGAAAAAATGACTCAACAAAATATTATTCCAACATATATCATGTCATTTGGTAACCATAGTAGTCTACACAGGATATGATTTCTCTCTAATCAGGTATAACAGGAACAAAACCAAAAACATTTCAGCTTAATTTGATGACAATTATGCCTCCTTTAACAAAATGGAGAAAGAAGAAGATTTAAGAGGTGGGAGCCTGTTGTAGGAAGGAGGGCTCAGCTGAGGAGTAAGTTGGCTGCTGTTCAGGAGCCTTACAAGATCTCATCCTGGGTCCTTTCCACGTAGATCTGACAAGCACAGAACGGTGCCCCAGTACCGCCTCCAGCAACAGAATACATTTTGCAGTACATCACAGAATTGCAATGGCATCAATTCTGCATACAATCCTTGTCCAAACAGAAAAGTTCTCAGTGGTCCTATTTTAGCATATCTCAAGGACTAATTAAATCCTCATTACTATCTTCTAATTATTCTACTACTATGGGAATTCACTGAGCAAGTCCCCGATGGTACATTAGATGAAAAGGGTTAAATAACCTGTGTTGATTTTGAGACTCCTGATCTGTTTCAGACCTTTAGCATACCATCAGCATTATCATGAATATTTAACTACATACCACTGTGAAAATTAAAAGGGGAAAATAATTAGCAGGTTTTCAAAAAAATTAATTCTGACCTCTATACATTTGCCCTAATAAATAAACCTTCTTCAAATGTTTTCCCTAAATAGTGGTCGAGTGTAAGATCATTAATTGTTCTCATTTAAGCTAAAACTTGAGAGGAGTAAAAAACAAAACAAAACATTTTCATATCAATAAACCTGAATTTTGGCTACTTACCTACCTTTATAAAAGAGAATCTTCTCTCTCCTTTTAACAAAAGATAACGGTAAATTGGTTAAGAAGCATCTTTTTAGTTTTTCTAATTTATTCTGATAGCAATTGTGTGCGCATGATATATAAACTATGTCTGTAATTTAGTTTACAGTATACATGTATAATTTTCCAAGTTTGGGGGAAAATGCTAATTGCTACCCTAATGACATGAAAGGTGGTGAAAAAATTCCCCAAACTTTGTAACAAGTTCTTCAGGTTCTAGTAATTTAGACAGATTCACCTTCCCCCCACCCCGGTCTAGTGTTGAAGATAAAGTAACATAATATTTTAAAAATAAGAAATCAAATTTGACATAAAAACAAATGCAAATATATATGACCAATGAAAATAGGTCATAATACAAAAGTTATTTCCCAAGTTATCCTCTCCCTCTCTTGCATCCTAAATGTTCACCAGCACACATACCTACACAGATAAGAACACACCCAATTGCAGATTCACCCAGAAGACCATATTTAGAGATATTTTTTTTTCCTGTAAAATTCTTAATACAATATTCCTGAGCAGGGGGTGGATAGCCTTAGGCTGACAAACATGAAAATCCCATCAGGGTGCTGAATAGTCAAGGAATGAAGAATAAAATGCAATAAAATACTTTCAATATATAAACATGATTTTTCAGACTGCTTACTTTAACATTCAGCACCATAACAGCTCTGATCCTACCTCTGTCAATCTAGCTGCAGGATTTCTGACAATGAATTTTTAGAAATGTGGACTTTTGGGGGGAGGATTCCATGGACTACTAAATATATTAGAAGAAAATTTCTCTGCATTTATTTACTTCTCTAAGCAAAGGGAAGAAATATTCATTATAGAGGTACGATGGGTTAAATCACATTTTAACACAAGAAGCTCAATTTTTATGTTTTTTTTTTTTTTTTAGTGGCTTAGCACACAGCTGGCATTCAATAAGTATTTATGAAATGTATGCATGAATGAATGAATGAATGAAAGATCAGTTTAATCACTGATCTAAACCATTAAACAATTAACAGATGACTGAAGATCAGGTGTCTTCAACAGCAACAATGGTACATTTGGGTTAATTTTTGTTATTTGTTTTGCATTTACATCAGCAGATGATAAGCACAGTTCCCCTTAGAATTCCCTAAACCACACACTCCTCCAAAGTTTGGCTAAAGACAAATTAAAGAAAGCTGAGAATCAATTAATGCCAAAGTTTTTCCCCCTATAATGTGAAGCTTCCCAGTTCCGTGGTTTGCCTGATCAATGAAAGAACACTGAAGGGGATGGGTCCAAAATGCACACTTGTTCACAAAACCCAATAGTATGAGTCTGGCTATGCATTTTTTATCTTCTTTCTAAAGTGAATGGCAATTGTTAGCTATCTACACAATTGACAATTTATATATTTATGCTTCAACTATCAATTTACAAATGAATTAAAACATCACAGAGAATATTTGGAGGTCAGGGGAAATAAAGACTTAAAGAGACAAGCACGAGAGGCAGTTATGGAATAGGAAACTGAGGCACTGAGAGGCTGTGACCTGAATAGGGAAAAAACCTAGCCTTTTGGAATTTTTCTCCTTACCTCCTTTTCTCCCTCCCTTCTTTTCCCTCCCCTTAGAGGTATAGCTGTAAGTTTAAGACCCTCAAGTAAAACAATTTAGAAGAGATTCTCTTACTCTGGGGTGAGGACCACAATAATCAGGCTTTCTTTGAGGCCCCCTTGGCTGCCTATTATGGGGGGCTACTTCACTTGTATATGGAGAGAGATGGCAGCTGGCAAGGGCTATATTCTTTGCTTTGACTCTAGCTTGCCCTTCATTATCTTTCGTACCACTTCATGGGACCAAAGTCACATGCAAGAACAATTTAGACCCTGCTCAATGGAGACAGACAGGACATTTACAGATCTTGCTCACCTCCCAAAAAATGAGAAAAAAGAATGTAAATATATGCTCTGATCATTAAGTCATGACAGTACCCTTACAACTAGAACAATGTATTAATGATCAGAGCATTATTAATCCACTTCAAAGTTTCTTTTTTACTGAAAACTGAAGAACTTCTTTATTCTCCACTAAATATAAAACAATTTAAAATATCCTGTTTTTCTAAATCAGTATTTCAATTTGGTAATATATTTTTTAAAACAAAAGCAATTTTAATGTTTTAAACTTCAAACTGTAACACATTATCTATACGTTAAGTGTATATATCTTGATATCATCAATCTTTCAGAAGCTGGATGCCAAATGGACAATTCTTATTCTTTTGGTGATCTGGCATGGAGGGTGCTGGGACTGGTGTCAGGGAGGCAAGTTAGAAGGAATAACTACAGTAAGACAGATAGTTGGCTGTGACACTGACCCCTCCTCCACAGTATATCTTGGTTTGCACTGAAATCAACCCTTCATGCTTTATGACAGTATCAACTTTAGCATTCTGGGGAAGAAACAGTAGGGCGGGAAAGAGATGAGGGAACAAGGCCTTGACCAGGGCAGAAATAAATATGGCAGGTGGTAAGGATGCTGGATGGCTGGTGCTCTCAGAAAGGTATTCCGCTGCAAAAATCACGGTGGATTCAGAAAATGTGGGTGTGAATCATAGCTTTATTGGTAATTAGCTATATAACCTCAAACATATCTTAAAATTTCTTTGGATTTCATTTCCTAATCTCTAAAACAATTAGTTTAGGATTTTGTGAACAAGGAATGAGTCTAGATGGTGAAAATTTCAAACTATATAATTTAAAACATTTTATTTCATTAGTACCCATATCTAAGCCACTTTACTCAAAACTCCTATTACATAACCAATTTGGAACAGGGGAGAGAGAGAGGAGGTTACCACTGTTCTTTTTAAAACAAAGAGTCAGGTAGCTAAGAAAATTAAATTAAGGCTTAAATACTAGAAACACAATAGGTATGGATTGTACAAATTAAAGACCAACCTCGTTCCTGTGGCATTGGTGACTGGCTCAAGGCTGGATGGGAACTGGATTCTGATTGGCTACCAGGAGGCTGAGGTGGCATCTGACTGCCTGTAAAACATAGGAAGGAAAGTGGGGTAGGGGTGGGGGGGAACCCTTTGCATTAATGTTGCCATTGTGTAAAACCAACATAGCTAAATTTCTTAATCTTGGTGATTTAAAAATTTATTAGCTATACACAGGACCCCACCCACCACCCCAGCTCAACAGGTTTGATCTTCTACAACATTTTTCTTTTTCCTTTTAAATTGAAGAGAGAGCATGCATAAACATTATTTAGCAACAGGCAGGCTGAAATGTTCAATTTCTCATTGAGTGAATTCCCAACCTCACTGACATGATCCAATTTATAGCTGTGAATCTCCTGACACACATTTCTGCAAGAGGGTTTAACGAAATCCAAGTCTGCTGAACAATACAATAGGACCCATCTAGTCGAGTTTAAACAGGCCTCCAACCAGGCAGGCATGGACGGCTGCCAAGAATTTTTCATTGGTAATATTCAGTCAATACAGAAATTACTAATATCAACAGATTTAAGGAATCTTTCAATCAATGGGCATAACATAACCTTCAGGGAAAACTTGTAAAAAGCTTCACTAGTAGTTCATGGTTACAGAAGAGTGAGGGATTTAATCTTCCCCCACTTCGACTTGCGTTTGCATTTTCATCCACGCAGTTTGGAACACAATGGCTCGTTAAATGTTTTAACATGTATTAATTTTGTCTCCTCAGCTACACTGTAGGCTACTTAAGAGTAAGGAGCACATATGCTTCTTTGCATCTTCCTTACCATCCAGCAAAAAGTCTTAATCATTTTGTGGCACACAAACACTCAGGGAATAAAAGTTACTTCCTGATAAACACTTTGTTAGCTCTTGGATTTTGGAATATGAATTAAAAGAAAAAATTCTTAATGTATAACTGACCCAAAGAAAAATGTAGCAATGTACCTACAGAAAGTAGGCTGCATAGCCAGCAGAGGCTTATATTTAGAAATCTAAGAATCTTTTGAGGTGTTTGTAAGTCTATTCTAACCCACTTTCTGGCTTAGGAGGTCCACATCTTAACTATAATGCTAACAAACATTATGGGACACTGGCAATAAATCCGACATTATAAAGGCATCTGGGTTCCTGCACTGGTGGGAAAAGAACAAGGAACTATCTCATTCTGTATCCTCCACTCCTTAAAACAAGTTAGTAAGATAAAAGGAAAAAGGAAGGGAAAAAACCTTAATTTTATCTTTTGGTTTGAAAGATAGGTGATTGAGAGAGATCAAGCTGATGCCCATCACCACTGGCCACCCTAAGGGCCAAGTCTTCATTAATTACCTATATAATTTTAAAGTATCAGAATTCAATAAAGAAAGATGTTAATGTACTGAGGAATATCACCAATTCATCTGGGCAAAGGATCATGTCCTAACCCTTGACACAGAACTTGGTGTTGTACAGTTAAAAAGAAACTCTCCCGGGTTTCTACAAGATGGCAACTCTGTCATGCCATGCAACCAATGTGCCAGAGTGCTGAGAAGGAAGGAGAACAAATCCCAGATGTCCCCCAGGACTGACATTCATAGCTAATTCCGAAGCAACAGTGAGTCTGTGACAGCCAGAGTGGCTGAAGAACCATTTTTCAGTTTAAGGTTAACAGAAATAAAGAGTTGTGAAAAACATTTTTACACTAAAATAGTTCTCAAATTGTTTTCTGGGTCTTCTTCTTACTTTCAAATAAGTATGCAAAATATACCAAAGAGATTTCTGAGTGCTCCTGGGGTTCAACTGCCACTCTTTCTCCCAGATGAGGTGAAAAATGAACAGTTGAATTGGTAGCCCCTGAGAACTGTTGCCATATGAAGTCAACAGGGGTTGCTCTTGCATTAGAACAAAACTTACATGGATGAAACAGTGGGGCAAAAAGCACAAGACATGTTTAGCCATGGAAGTCCCTTCGCAAGTACATCTGAATTTAACACTAATTAAATATAAAATAAAAACTGCTTACATTGTGGATAAAAAAACACCAAGAAACAGAATTTATCTTATATGATGGATTTTTCTTTGAAATAAAAGGACTGAACTCAAGTTTGACTATCCACCTTGCCACATGTCAACTAGTAAGACAGTATGTTGCTATTATGGAACATCTTTAGGCCGTAGGGATCTATAGTCTATTTAGAAACTCTAAGGCACACTACCATCAAATATTGCCTTTTCTTTATCTCTTTTTAAAAGTCACTCAGGAATCAGCTGCAGCAAGACAGTAAGTGCTTACATTATAACGAACACTTCTGTATGACAGACTGAATTCTGTGACTCAAGACCGTAAACAAACAGTAATTCTATGTTAACACAGGACACTACTACTTTCACTGCATATGCCTGAGGCACTGCTCTTAGACAGAATATTTCAAATGAAAATAAAAAATGCTTTAGGAAACTATCCATAAATTCGTAAATTACTACCACAGTCTGGGACACTGCTGGTTGTCCAGCAAAGTTTCCAAGACAGGTATTGCTTTAACACAGCAGTTAATTCCTTTGAGATTTCTTCAAAAGCAGACGAGAGACATTTTCATGGCAAACATGCATGCATTAACCCAGAGTTTTTAACCCACACTTTGCAACCCACCCCCTCCCACCTGTAGTAGTGTCTCTGGCAGTGTGAGAACCTTATCCTCACCAGCAGATGTGCAGGCACAGCCCTAGCAGATGATGAATTTAAAAGCATGTTGTGGGTAAAGGATGGAATTATGGCAATTAAAATGAATTATTTCTATGGCCCAAATAAATGAGAACTTGGGCCCACTTGGAATTAAATGAAATGAGCACCTAAAACCAAGAACGTTTTTGTATGGTACTTAATAGTCCCAAGTAAAATCTTTCAAACAAAGTTTGGTGATTCCACTAAGGGAGAATATTGATATGCACAGAAAAAATACAAAACCAACCAAACAAAAATACCAAAAAAAAAAAAAAAAAAAAAAAAAATGGAGGTATAAAATTAAAAGCTAGCTTTGCAAAGGAGCCCCACATTTTACTCACCTACATCTGTGGAGATGCATCGGTGTAAAATACAAGACTGAAAACAATGCTATGAGTTAAAACTGAAGCATGAAGACAGCACCCCAAGACCCTCATTAATCTGGCCACTTTAGCTAGGAAAACATTTTTTTTCCCAATGACTTCTCAAAATATATCACATTCTATATAACATCTGGTGCAAGACAATGAGTGAAGATTCAGGAAGGCCTCTGAGCTGACTTATAATCTGTTCATTTAAAAATCTCAGTATTTTTTTTAAGATAGTGTTTTAAGTCCGTATTTTCCATTTTATGCAAAGAGCTTTCAAGAAATGAGGCAAGTTAAATGTTTGAGGGGCATGGAACTGGATTTTTTAGATATGACAGAATGGGGCCAAAGCTGGCAGGGGGACAGATGATGGCCTAATCATCATTTAACTTTATAACATTTATAATTGTCAAAGCATCCGGTATCTAGTCAATCAGACAAATAATGTACTGTATTATTCACAATGGGAGAACTGAGGCACATAGAGGTTTTGTTTTTCTTTAGGTAATAGAAAACAATGGGGAAAAATTACTTTAAAAAACACTCAACTAGAATCTAGATCCCTTGTGAACACAATCTGTGTCTTTCTATTTCCTTTACCATCCAATAATCTCAAATATAAGGACGAATACATAGTAGATAATTAATACTTGTTGAACAATTTCTCTGAGAAATATGATTAGAATAGTAAGCTATAATACTAAAAGCTATAACCATCTATAACCAGTGTAGCTTGGTCTCATGATTCTAGGTAATGCTGCTAGTAAAGAAAAGTTCCACCAGTGATCTGCATTTGCAAAAAAATAAAAATCACTGGAAAAATAAAAATACACATAAGAATAAGTCACACAAACCTTAACATAAAAGGCACAATTTCTTTACCTCCCCTTCAAAAAAAAATGCCTAAGTCTAAGATATATTAGGTATTAAGTACTTAGGTCTGCATAGTTCTAGGACTTAACTAGTAACTCCCTAATACAATCCTAACTAGCAATCTCCCTAATACAAACTGCTTTTTTCCTCCCTGTTTTCCTATTTCTCTTCTCTACCCAGTTTGAGACTAACATATTTGCTGAAACATTAAAAAATACACTAAAGAATAACTACTGGCAACTTTATTTCCTCCTTTCTCCCTTTTTAAGTTCAGAAAAAGCAGGAAATTTCCTTTCCTAATGTACAGTCTTACTGTCACTTTTTATTTTATTTAAATCACAGTTTGACAGCCACCTTTGAGGCCTGGAGGACAGATTCATTCCAGGACTTAAAACTCTACTTTAAGGATAAGGGTAATTATGTTCAGGTCCTGAAGGGAAATATTGTTGCCCCTTGATGAACTAACAGCTGCATTACCAAATTTTGGCTGTAACAGAACAAGCAAGCCCTGAAACTCTGAACCTTTAATGAGGTAGAATTAAAATGGTATTCTTCTCCTTCAGCAGAGGTATGTCAGCACCTGGGACAGGGAAAGGAACATTTTTGCTATCTGTATCCCCTCTTCAACACAAGTACATATTCCACATTCCTGTCCTGATGTCGGTGGCTCCTTGATTAGTGATTTTGTATCAAGTACATCTAGTCTATGTTTCCAATTTTGATACTTGTAATTTTACTATAAAAATCTGAAAACTAGCTTTGTTTCAAATTGGATAGGGCAGAGTTCTTTGCATGAGAACGAGACAATCCAAATCTGATTGAATTCAATTACTATGTATATGCAAGGTGCTATACGGGATACAAAGATGAACAGGACAAAGGTCTTTGCTATTAAAGGACTTGATTCAAAGGACCTTTGAGAGAATCCTCAAAATGTGTCAAGACCAGCAAATACTAAGGCTGCTTGGATCGGTACAATGCAGCATAGAAAAGAATTTTATTATTCTATTTAGGAAATAGTAAAATTGGTGTTACTCTAACCTCCATAAACTTCCTTAAGTTTGGAGGCTGGTATTCTCTTTCTCCTTTACTATAGATCAAAGG